TTCAGCATATGTCATCTCTTCACAAATTCCCTGCAAATAAGAATATAGGGTTATATGAAGATTAAAAACAAAAATGTTCCAAGATGAATATTTAAGGCAAAACAGCAAAAGACAAATAGAAGCAGAATATCTGTTAAGTTTGCTGAAGGCTGCTATAACTTACCGCATCAATTTCATTCAGTGCCTTCCACCTTTCTTGAGGAGCATCAATACCCTCTGCTGTCTGAATGGTACGCTTCATCCAAGAGGTCCAAACCCGTAACTGCCAAGTCAGTGAAGTCAGTTTAGTATTATCATAACACAAACAATAACAACAACAACAGTCATGATAAATAAGGTGTTAATAATAATAGTAACAACAACAACAGTAGTAATAATAATAATAATAATAATAATAACACCGAATAATGTTTAACATGTATAAGGCAATTCAGATGAACTTACCTTAGGTATCTTCTGTTCCTTAATGTATTCTGCAAGGGCATTTCCAAATGTACGTCCACGTTCACTCAGGTCAGAGTCCCCTCCAATCTTGCCCAATTGGTTGTAAGCACTTTCTCCATGCTGGGAGATTGGAAATAATTATTTAGATACATGAATATCATAACAAGTGCATAATAGATATCTGATTAATCAAAAATATAAATTCTTACTTGTTATACTTTCTAAACACCATGCAAACTATAAATCAGAGATTAATGATTTACAACAAGCCGTAATAAAACAAGGTACTCTTTACTTACTCGTGCAAGATAGATGGTTCTGGGAGTGACATGAGTATTCATCAAGTAATACACAATACGTGCCTGGATGTGTCCCTCATGCTTGTGAACGACCACCTTCTGCCCTGCTCCCAGGAAGACCCAGTTATTAGTGTTGATATAAATTTTCAATCATCTTCTAAGATGTCTTGTGATACAATAAAAAGAAGGAAAAAAAAAAAAAAAGAGGGTCAAAACACTAAATGCTGAAGACAAACCTGTGTTATAGACTTTCATGAAGGAGAGGTGATCTTCCAAGGCTTCATCAAGAGGTTGATATTGTTCCATATAATGTTCAATCCTCTGCAGGAAGTCCTCAAGTGCTTCCTCCGATGTCATTCCACGATAGTCTGGGCTGTTTACCTTTACCTCCTGTTGGCAAAAGAGTAAACATTTATCATATGCAATCACTAGCCATAAATGCCCTTTTTTCCTCATCATTCACTAAATATAGAGAAATATCATGCAAGAAAGAAAATATGCATTAATGAAGCTACCATAATTAGCAGTCTGTATTGTTCTTTCTCCCTGAAATCACTTACTCTGTGCATGCACACTTAGTAAATTCTGTATTATATGCAATTTGCTGCTAATCTAGCAAACTTGTAAAAACATTCAAGTCAAAACACAAGTTTCTAAAGTGTCCAATAATCCTTGGAGTGCATGAAAGAAAAAAATCTATACTCTCTGGGGCTTCCATTACTCATCCAAAAGTAAAAAAAATATCCTAAAATTTACTCTGGTTACAGTACCAAATTCAAGACTATTATGGGTCCAAAAGGTTCTCACATCAGTAACCTTTCTCATGATATTATATCAAACAAAACTGTTTTCATTAATAATGCTGATTAGCAATACCTCCATCTACCAATTTAGTTTTACAAGAAAATAATTGGCAATACTATTATCATCACTTATACCAAGATCATCATTATCAATATCATAATAATGATAATTATAATCATGGTGCTATTATCATCAATATCAATATCATATTAATATTTACTATCGATATTGACTATTGTAGTACAGGTAGTAGCAACAGAAGCACCTGATTGTAAACTATTTGTGGAATTAATGTTCAATAACCACTATTCTAAAATAAACAATGCATAGAAAAGTGGCATATCTGAAAATAATACATATACTTTTCACATAATCATCATTCATACTACTTCTAATGATAACAACAACAATAATAATTATTATTATCATTACATCATTTTTTAACTATTATCATTCTTGTTACCACCATGATTACCATGACTGTTATATATGCTATCATCATTATTAACATCAATATCATAATTATTAGCATTAGCATCATCCTCACAATACTATTATCATCACTTTAATTTCATTACTGTTTTTATTGTTATTATCATCATTATTGTCATCACTATTGTTATCCTATTATCTGTATAATTAATGTCATTATCATTATTAGTAGCAACATCAATATTCTAATTAGTATCAACACATTTTCTGCCAACACAATAACATTTCATATGCCTTAACTATCACAACTATGTATTTTTCCAGTTAAATCTAATTCTACCATAATATAAATTTGTAACTATAGATACTATAGTGATAAAATGACAAAGCCACTATCTGGTGTTTATGCTATTACAAATCTTGCTTTGGATTCCAATTTGTAAGTCTGGAAAGACTAACTGCTAACAATTCTAAATGATAGTCTTAAGTTTGATCTACAGATAACTCTATGAAATTACACTTAATGCTTACAAATAAAAAAGCCAAGTTGATGTCTCTAAATATCTATACACCCTTACATTCTAAATTCTAAATGCAGTTTAATTACTAATTCCAAATGCATGAAAAGCATATAGTAGTACTCTGCTAACTGAGCCTCTGAGTATTATTAAGTTTATCCAATAGACATAGCAAGGACAGACTACTTGCATATGAAATCTTAGAAAATGCAGAATGGAGCATTTTTTAATCCATAAAGCTAAAGGTGACACCTGTCTATCATGCAACTCTGCTTAGTAACATTTCAACGAAATAATCTCAATTTAATTTCTAATGTAAATCAATCTGATAATCATTTTAGATATCATTTAATATATATAATCATCATATAATTAATACTGATATGATGTATAATATAAATACAATGACCTGTGTGAAGAACAGTTTATAAAGAATGAGACCTTATTATTACTTTTATATGGTTCACTTTTATTAAAAATTCTCTTTAACAGTCTTACTCATACTCATACTCTTACATACAAGAGAAATAAAGCATAAATACTCCTCGTTTCATACAATCTCACCTCTCTAAACATCAAAGAAATTTAAATATCTTGCTCTGATAACAAAAAAATAGTATAATGTTAAAATTCATTTTATCCACCATCACCCATATTTGCTTAAGCTTCAGTACTGCACAGCAACCAGATTTATCCCACAAAGCACATACAGGAAAACTGAATTTGCAAGGAAACAGCTACTGTGGACAGCTACTTACATATATTACTTAAAGGTAAAACTGTTTTTTTTCTGTATGGAGATGCTTTTAATCTTCTGAATAAAGAATTGAAATGACCCATAAAGCAAAACTAATTTCAGAAATTTTTCAGTTAGATTACTCTGTAGTGGAAAATGCTGGAGGTACTTCTTAGAAATATTAAGATTTTCTCCCAACACAATACACTAGGTTCTCCATAAGCTATGTAAAAAAGAAAAAGAAGAAAAAAAAAACAAAAAACAAATGGACCTTTTACTTCCATCAGTAGTATATGGTCCAATTTTCCTTAGCCACAACCAGTGCAATTCTCCAATTGGTTAAAGCCAAGCAAAAATTCTTAAAACATAAAAAAGAACTAATCAATCCTGTATACAAACTTGAGAGCAAGGATGCCCAGGAGATTTACTACTATGAGGTGTCGACCTTGGATAGTCTGGGCCGTTGATCTTCACATCCTGTGCAAGCAAGCAAATTCAATAAAAGTAGGCCATTCTCATTCTCACTTCATTAAGGAAAATTAAAAACTTGAGGTGCCACAGCAATGAATGGCAAAAAATTGGTGGAAAAGGTACAGGCACAACATTTTATTTGCTTTAAACTAGCCTCAAGGGTTTTTTATATTTATTTCACTTACCTATCACATGTGTGCAATCAATGTGCTATACCAAGAATGTTTGTAATAAAAGAAGCCAAGAACAAAATCAGTAGCACAGTTACATAGCTTGGTGTAGACCTGTAAGCATGATAGTGAGGTCTATGGCATAGGGAAGAATGACAAAACACTACTGTATGCTATGTATTCAGTATGAAAAAAACGTATAGTCAGAAACTTGGCAAGACAGACAGTGTGCAATTAAAGGCAGACAGTTGAGGAATTAAGTGATAAAAATATCTATTGTGCTCTATGGATATTTATGAATTGATAGATGATTGCATGGAGCAATGTTAAATGCCAAATAAAACCTCATACTTTTATATAAAAGATGACTAACAGAAAGCCACCAAGAATGAGCTTTTAATTGATTTTTTTTTTCTGCAACCCAAAATAATAAGTAATGATATAATATAGAGACTTCATTTTAACATAATTCTCCCAACTATTTACTGTGCACAGTCATAAATACTTGTCAGCTTTTGAAGTTGACAAAACAGACACATAAATACTCCTCGTTTCATACAATCTCACCTCTCTAAACATCAAAGAAATTTAAATATCTTGCTCTGATAATAAAAAAATAGTATAATGTTAAAATTCATTTTATCCACCATCACCCATATTTGCTTAAGCTTCAGTACTGCACAGCAACCAGATTTATCCCACAAAGCACATACAGGAAAACTGAATTTGCAAGGAAACAGCTACTGTGGACAGCTACTTACATATATTACTTAAAGGTAAAACTGTTTTTTTTCTGTATGGAGATGCTTTTAATCTTCTGAATAAAGAATTGAAATGACCCATAAAGCAAAACTAATTTCAGAAATTTTTCAGTTAGATTACTCTGTAGTGGAAAATGCTGGAGGTACTTCTTAGAAATATTAAGATTTTCTCCCAACACAATACACTAGGTTCTCCATAAGCTATGTAAAAAAGAAAAAGAAGAAAAAAAAAACAAAAAACAAATGGACCTTTTACTTCCATCAGTAGTATATGGTCCAATTTTCCTTAGCCACAACCAGTGCAATTCTCCAATTGGTTAAAGCCAAGCAAAAATTCTTAAAACATAAAAAAGAACTAATCAATCCTGTATACAAACTTGAGAGCAAGGATGCCCAGGAGATTTACTACTATGAGGTGTCGACCTTGGATAGTCTGGGCCGTTGATCTTCACATCCTGTGCAAGCAAGCAAATTCAATAAAAGTAGGCCATTCTCATTCTCACTTCATTAAGGAAAATTAAAAACTTGAGGTGCCACAGCAATGAATGGCAAAAAATTGGTGGAAAAGGTACAGGCACAACATTTTATTTGCTTTAAACTAGCCTCAAGGGTTTTTTATATTTATTTCACTTACCTATCACATGTGTGCAATCAATGTGCTATACCAAGAATGTTTGTAATAAAAGAAGCCAAGAACAAAATCAGTAGCACAGTTACATAGCTTGGTGTAGACCTGTAAGCATGATAGTGAGGTCTATGGCATAGGGAAGAATGACAAAACACTACTGTATGCTGTGTATTCAGTATGAAAAAAACGTATAGTCAGAAACTTGGCAAGACAGACAGTGTGCAATTAAAGGCAGACAGTTGAGGAATTAAGTGATAAAAATATCTATTGTGCTCTATGGATATTTATGAATTGATAGATGATTGCATGGAGCAATGTTAAATGCCAAATAAAACCTCATACTTTTATATAAAAGATGACTAACAGAAAGCCACCAAGAATGAGCTTTTAATTGATTTTTTTTTTCTGCAACCCAAAATAATAAGTAATGATATAATATAGAGACTTCATTTTAACATAATTCTCCCAACTATTTACTGTGCACAGTCATAAATACTTGTCAGCTTTTGAAGTTGACAAAACAGACAATAAAAGCAATTATTAAGTAAAGAAAACATCTATATCATATGCATATAACATTATACAAAAATTATGATGATTTTTATAACTTGCAATATTTCTTAGGATATGCAGTATACTATGAAATAGAAAGGCATTAACTTCTATATATATGTACTACTGCATTGCAAACTATCTCAGGTTTCAATAGAAATTGTATTATGATTGTGTATATGGGTCTCAAGAAAAAGCACCTGCACTTCAACTATAAAATGAAAACTGTATCCATCAAACTGAGGAAAATAAAGTCTCAATTTGCTTCTCGCTGCTAAATATAGCTCTTGTAATCCTCTTTTTCATATCGCAACTTAGTTAATTTAGTTTTCTTCAATCCATCAATATGAAGTAATATCTGAGTGTTCATTGACACCTTCAGAATTTTGTGCATTACAAAAGACCAAAGCTGTGGGCAGAATCAAACTTGTATCTCATCATGGTAATGACAATATCCAGAAAAGAATAAGATAAATTCAACATGGCAGTTTCTGGTGATCTACACAGAGGAAAATGTTTCCTGCACCTGTAAGATAACTAATCAAAGTGTGCAAAGAGACAGGAGGTCTACACTGAAGCAGGTTAACCAACTGAGTATAGGTTTATATACTGTCCATTGTTGCTTCTGGTGAATTTTGGTGCCAACAGATAGCTCTGCAAGTGTTCAGCCACCAAGGAGTCAAGAAGCAGGCCCTAGTGACAGTGTCTGATTAACTCACCCTTTGAATTTGCATGAAAATAATTGTTGTTTTTCAAATGCTATTCATATTGATACTTTCATTATTATTATTGATATTATGACTAGGTAGGACTAATAATTGACTCCTTGGTGACTAAGCACTTTCAGACATAATTAATAAACTAGAATTGGACATGGCATGAATTCTTGCCATCTGTAGCCATTGGGATAAATTTACTCTTCTTAACAAGTAGTTTTCATTTTATAACCCTTTGTACACATTTTGTGCATGTGTGAGACGATTCAGAGGTGTGGGTAGGTGGGTAGTTGGGTGCTGGGTAGGTGGGAGCATGATTAGGTTGGTGGGTGCAGGGATGGATGGGTGAAGGGGTAGGTGGGTGGATGGGAGGATGGGTGTGTGGATTAGTGTTTGGGTACACAGGAGGAGGTGAGTATGTGGGTAGGTGGGTGTATAGGAAGGTGGGAGTTTCAGTAGGTGGGTGCGTGGGTAGGTGGGTGCGTGGGTAGGTGGGTGCGTGGGTAGGTGGGTGCGTGGGTAGGTGGGTGCGTGGGTAGGTGGGTGCATAGGTAGGTGGGTGCGTGGGTAGGTGGGTGTGTGGGTAGGTGGGTGCAAGGATAGGTGGGAGTGTGAGTAGGTGGGTGTGTGGGTAGGTGGTGTGTGGGTAGGTGGTGTGTGAGTAGGTGGAGTATGGGTAGGTGGGTGCGTGGGTAGGGGGGTGCGTGGGTAGGTGGGTGCATGGGTAGGTGGGTAGGTGGGTGTGGTGGGTAGGTGGGTGTTGGGTAGGTGGGTGTGTGGGTAGGTGGTGTGTGGGTAGGTGGTGCGTGGGTAGGTGGGTAGGTGGTGTGTGGGTAGGTGGGTGTGTGGTAGGTGGGTGTGTGGGTAGGTGGGTGTGTGGGTAGGGGGTGTGTGGGTAGGGGGTGTGTGAGTAGGTGGAGTATGGGTAGGTGGGTGTGTGGGTAGGTGGGTAGGTGGGTGCGTGGGTAGGTGGGTGTGTGGGTAGGTGGGTGTGTGGGTAGGTGGGTGTGTGGGTAGGTGGGTGTGTGGGTAGGTGGGTGTGTGGGTAGGTGGGTGTGTGGGTAGGTGGGTGCATGGGTAGGTGGGTGCGTGGGTAGGTGGGTGCATGGGTAGGTGGGTGCAAGGATAGGTGGGAGTGTGAGTAGGTGGGAGTATGGGTAAGTGGGTGTGTGAGTAGGTGGGTGTGTGGGTAGGTGGGTGTGTGGGTAGGTGGGTGTGTGGGTAGGTGGGTGTGTGGGTAGGTGGGTGCGTGGGTAGGTGGGTGCGTGGGTAGGGGGGTGCGTGGGTAGGTGGGTAGGTGGGTAGGTGGGTAGGTGGGTGGCGTGGGTAGGTGGGTAGGTGGGTGCATGGGTAGGTGGTGCATGGGTAGGTGGGTGCATGGGTAGGTGGGTAGGTGGGTAGGTGGGTGTGTGGGTAGGTGGGTGTGTGGGTAGGTGGGTGTGTGGGTAGGTGGGTGTGTGAGTAGGTGGGAGTATGGGTAGGTGGGTGTGTGAGTAGGTGGGTGTGTGGGTAGGTGGAGTATGGGTAGGTGGGTGGCGTGGGTAGGTGGGTGCGTGGGTAGGTGGGTGTGTGAGTAGGTGGGTATGTGGGTAGGTGGGTAGGTGGGTGCGTGGGTAGGTGGGTAGGTGGGTGTGTGGGTAGGGGGTGTGTGAGTAGGTGGAGTATGGGTAGGTGGGTGCATGGGTAGGTGGGTAGGTGGGTGCATGGGTAGGTGGGTGTGTGGGTAGGTGGGTAGGTGGGTGGCGTGGGTAGGTGGGTGCATGGGTAGGTGGGTGCGTGGGTAGGTGGTGTGTGGTAGGTGGGTGTGTGGGTAGGTGGGTGTGGTGGGTAGGTGGGTGCGTGGGTAGGGGGGTGCGTGGGTAGGGGGGTGCGTGGGTAGGTGGGTAGGTGGGTGCATGGGTAGGTGGGTGCGTGGTAGGTGGGTGCGTGGGTAGGTGGGTGCATGGGTAGGTGGGTGCGTGGGTAGGTGGGTGCGTGGGTAGGGGGGTGCGTGGGTAGGGGGGTGCATGGGTAGGGGGGTGCATGGGTAGGTGGGTGCAAGGATAGGTGGGAGTGTGAGTAGGTGGGTATGTGGGTAGGTGGGTGTGTGGGTTGGTGGGTGGTGTGCGAGTAGGTCTGTGTGTGAATAGGTAAGATGGTGGGTGTTTGTCTGGATGTGTGGGCGTGTGTGCGTGTGCGTGTGGGTGCGCGCACGCATGCATAAATGTGAATATAGATCTGCTTGCATACCTATGCAAAAATATTGCTAGTGGAGTAAGAAAATGCCTGCTTACTCCAGCATTATAACATGCTGCACATGTAAAATAACATTAACAAAATAACATAATAAGCATTAAACAAAGACAGATAAAGAAATTAAAGAATTATGGCCATTTAGCATTACATGTTCTATAAGTTTTTTAGCAAAGAATGAAGACTATATGAAAATAAAATCACTGTTCAAATTGATACTGTGGTTAAAAGACTGTAGACATCACTATTAAAGGTTAATACATGACAAGAAGCTCACTCCAATGGCCTGCTTCACTAATTCTTAAACAGATGCAAAGCTCAGACAAAACAGTTATCACACTTTAGGAGGAAAATGTAGCATCCTGAATTTATGATGACCGTCTCATAGACATCAAATCTACAAGATGATCTACCTTCACTTTAGCTACCATAATGTGTCTTTGTAAACCCAATAAACACATAACTTCACATCTGTAATCCTATGCCTTCGATGCCAATACAAACCGAGATTCAAATCTCCCTTACCCTAATATTTGCCTCAATGATGGATGGGTCATCGCAAATCGACTCTACGTAGAACAGCTTGTACTCCATTTTCTCCACAATGATATTGTATATTAATCGCCGACGATGCATTGTTGTATTCGTAGCATCGAAGACCTGAAAATTAAATGAAATATGGTTAGAGTCTTATATAACAGAGATGTTAAAATCATTGTCATTATCATCATTACTATCATCATTATCATTACTATTATCATTGTCATTATTATCATTTTAATCATAATTATAATAATTATTATCACCAACATCATTATTATTATCAGTCATTATCAATTCATAGACAATTAATTAGTATCATTCAATCAACTGTCCTTCTTTTTAATTCTTCAATATATAGTGTCAATGTGATAACCAAGTTTATTATCATGTGTGGTCTAGTTTCCTGTTACCTTATATTCAAGAAGAAAAAAGAAAAAAAGAAAAAGAAAAAAAAATACATCTGGAAAAACTATGGAGTTCAGAACTATAACTTCCTTTTCATCATTATTGTGTAGCTCATTATATCTTCCTTTTATAGCCCTTTATAGCTTATGAGCAAAAAAAAAAGAGAAATCCACTTCATTACCATTACTTCTACTATAATACATAAAAATGTATATATTGCCCAGCTTATAGAAAGATGCACCACTTACAGCAACTTCTCCCCCACTATTATCAAGCCAGTCACAAACGTCATCCAGGGCATCCATTGCGCACCGTTCCCTGAGAGCCATTGCTTCCTCATTGTCCGTACGGAAGAAGTTATGGTTCTTGTACATGTGGGTGGCACGTCGACGGTACTCGCCCAAGTTGAACACTAAGGGGGATAAAAGTCACAGAAGGAATGAACAACCTGAAGATTCATTCTGCAATCTCATCATCGGGAGAAGAAGTAATATCACATTCTCAGTATTACAATGACCTTTAGAGAGGTACATACCTTTTGTTTTTATGCCGATCCAGTTGAGGTACCTTGTCAGCTTTTTAGCCATGTAGGTTTTTCCTCTGGCAGGCAGACCCACCATAACAATGACATGTGGCGTGTTGACATAATTGGCACGCTCTCCTAAAGCAGATAGGAAAAATATTCAAATTAGAGAGTTTGAAAATTATCGTATACATAACTTTGACAAAGAAAAGTGAAATTGAACCTTCCTGAAACCATGACAGTGCAATTTCACCTACCATTTGGGAGGCAAGTTGAGCGGTAGCTAAGTCTCCTGTGGCGAAACATCTTGAAAATTACTATTACCAATCAAAAACTGATATGAAACTACTTTCCTAAATATAACATATAAAGGAATTGTAACCATACAATATTTCAAACAAATGAATGAGATAATCTGTTAGTACTGAGTATCATGCACATGGATGTGCTTTCTATACTTCCACGTTGTACAGTGCAATACAGTTCTATAAAAAGTCCAAGGTACAAATTCACACTTTGGTATTATGGTTCCAAGAGCCCTCTTTTTTTTTTCTTCTTTTTTTCTTTAAACTCAACCATTATAAGCAAAATTTATATGAAAAAACTATGAAAAGTTTACTGAAACATATAAATCCTTCCTGCTGGTTATAATTACCTAGTGAATCCAAAAACAATTATAATGATAATCACATCTGGCAACTAAAAGTGACTGTGCATTTCTTTTTTTCCTTTTTTTTTTTTTTTTTGGTAATGTGTTTACTGAGATACGGCAGTAGGTCATTGGCAAGAACACATCTAACCACAGTAGTCTTAAGGGTGAAGAGCCCACATATATAACATAGGTAATTCAACCTGGGAGTAGATACTTGTCTTTATCACTTTAGTCTGACCTTGAGACTGTGTTGCCAGCAATGTAACCCAAAAGCTGAATTCCATGCATTCTCTCTTAGTCACTATCATAAGAGGAAAAAAATAAAAAATAAATAATGACAGATATCAGTCTTAGTAACTTAAAATACAATCTAATCATATCAGCTTCTGAAAATGGAAAGCAATGGAAAAACTACTGATATCAGAATATTTGTCAACTCAGGCATGGAAACCGAGCCTAGCTGAGATAAGGCGTCACACAGCTTCGAATTGTGAGATCATCATATTCCATCCCATGCGCAGGTAAACAAACATGAGATTAAGTTTTTGTCATGGGTAAATAATATATGTAGTAGACAATACAAATTATGATTAATACTATATTAAAAGAAATGTAATTACCAAGTGATTGAGCATATAATTTGGTGACTATCTATATTCTATAAATATCTCATGATTTACAATTAAATTCATGAAAGCTGCCACTCAGAATTTACTCTTTTGGGTTATATATATTTTCAAAACACATATAATCAATCAAACACACAACAATGTGCACAGACACACACAGACACACAGACACACACACACACACACACACACACACACACACACACACACACACACACACACACACACACACACACACACACACACACACACACACACACACACACACACACACACACACACACACAGAGCAAATACAAACACAAAATGTGAAGGTTGCCTTTACACCTCACTAAACCTGAAATACAACTTCTATTTTTGTTCTAGCATTGAGAAAGGGCAAGTCTCTGGAACCAGTTCTGACGGTAAGTTTACGTAAATTTTTCCAGTTTTATAATATAATACTCTTGGAGAATTGAGCAGTCTAATAATAATTGAATCTCAGAAATGCATCATTCAAGTAAGGTCTCTCTTTTTTTGCTGATAACATGGCCAATCATTTACAGAATCTACTATTATGACTTCACCTACTTAACTGTATTAAATGCCATAGATATATAAATGTGAAATGTATTCCTTCTTTTTCAAAACTGATGCAATGATAAAAATGTTTCTTAACCCCTAAAGGAAAGCAAGCTCAGAGTTTCGCATGACAGGAAAGACACATGCACACAGGTCATCAAAAACATGTTGTATTGGTTTATCTTAAAACACAAGTATCTAACCTCAAATTGCTTTAATTTGGATATTTGCAATATGAGTAATTTGGACTTTTTTTTTTACCTTTTAACAAATTTAAACCGGTAAAAAAAATTATCAAATTTTGTTTTTCAATATTGTATGACTTCAAAAAGTTAATAAAGTAAAATAAGAGAGAAGATACAAATAAGCAGTCTTCCTAAAATAAATGGGTGTTTTACAATTTGTGAGATAAGATTACAATGCA